TTTCATTCCAGGTCACATAAGACTTGTGCATGCAAGAAATAAAGGTGGGAACTATCATGACCGTTTATCTATCTCATTGCAATGTAGACTTGGTCATTTCACGTATCAGAATGCCATAACCTACTTTGTGTGATATGGTATGGTATGTTGTAGAAAAACTTCATTTGGGGGGTCAGCCCGGGCGTGAACTAGTACGTAGCGAGCCACTCTCACGTCGGAACAGATAGGCCTAGCCGCTCCACCACCTCGTGGGTCCGTTGAACTGCCCATTGTGGCGTCCTTAGATTGGGGCGGCGTGCCACTAATAATTTAATTTTTAATCTTTTAATCCAGTGTTTTTTCTTATTATTCAATATTTTGTGTCAAACGAATGTCCTAAAGCCCTTGTAATTTTTCGGAATGAAAATTAGCATCTATTGTCATTGTTTAACGTGAAGGTCAAGTAACTGTACTTTTTTCGAGTGTGGTCGAGGAACAAACCTCTCTGCTCTAGTATCCATTGTGATGACAACTAAATGTGTTGCCTGATAATATATAAACCACGAATGGAAGTCAACTTTCAGTTTTTGCTAGCCACTCAAAAAAACGAATAGAAAATGTCTGGATGGGTGTCAGGACTATCATATCCACTTCATCTTCAAGTTCATAATGACGCTACCGTCGGACCGAGCGAGCTACAAGACTCCACACGATAAGTGGAGTAATGGTGCATGTAAGGCTGCATCTTGTTCCAAGAGATTGCTCAAAGCAGTTTGCGATGGGGGAAATCTTAATAACGCCCTTCCCGGTTCTCTCTTCTTTAGAGAAAGGAGCAAATTACAACAAGAGTCAACTGGAACAAAATAACTGGGGCCGTCTTCAGCGGAGAATGCGAGAGGAGTTATAGGTAAGGAGGAAGGGCGAGAGAGGCAGGCAGGGTTGGTGGTGGAAGTAATCACCAAATAATGCAGAACGTTTTGTGAATGCTCCGTTCGCGTACGTGCACAGTGCAAGAACAACGAGTGCACTCAGCCGAAGCACCGAGAGTCCAGCTATTACAAGCAGAATAGACAGGCTTCTGCCACTAGAAACTAACGTTCTGCACGATTGCCCTCATTATCGTGGTCTTCAAGACAGCTTTGCTTCTCAGCGAAGCGTTAGTCGGGCGGAGACAATGTTTAGCGGCTGACATGCGGAATAGGGAAAGGGAGAGTGAAGTTGCAGTATTGCCGAGAGGACGACAAAAAGTAATGGGAATGTCTCTCTCTTACTCTTTCTCTGTTTAACTTACGCTCTCTTTCTATATTTAGTTCGCATTACTGGTTTGCCGTTCAGATATGCGTGGTACAGGCTGACGAAGTTTGGAAACCGCCATTAGGAAGAAAACATTTTGTTTCGGTGGTGGTCCTTTGAAGAAAGCTTTAGGACCTTGCTACACTTTTGATAAAGTTCAATTATCACTTAATCGTTTGAAGCTGCGAATGCCTGTTGATTATGTTGAAGAGGAAAGATCAAGGTAATCTCAAGTTCCTAAGTGTTTTGTCCGTAACGACGACCGAAATAGGAGACACTTTGTTTAACGGTGTCTTTCTTTCTCTGCGTTCCCGAAAAATTTTGCTGCACTTATTCTGCGCATACACTTCGATGAAGACTGCCAGCGGGCTTTTTGAAGAATATTTAGCGTCGCCTGCGGTCGTGTGCACGAGGAACTAAATGAATTGCTTTCACAGAATGGGCAGGCCTCTGCAAAAAATTGGTGTTGCCGAGCTGGGCTCTATATTATATTGCGTCAACGAAAACAAACTCAGGAAGCGCGAGAAGAAAGGAGAGACGACGACGAAAGGCTTGTATTCAAGCGGGCTACATATAGTCATGAAGAAAATAGAGGGTAAATACTATTGGCTGTAAAGATGACACATGTATTCCCGTAGGAATCGTGCCCACACAAAAGGGGCGTTCGGGATGAAGAAGCAGTAATCAATATAGCTTTAACAACTCTCTTGATTGCTTCCACAGACGAGGTTGTATGGCTGAGCGGCCTTCTTACTTTTTTTTCTTTCTGTTTCTTCCTTGCACTTCTCTCTTTTTGTTCTTTTGTCTTTCTTAATTATTTGAATTTATTTCTTCTCAATTTCTTTCATTTTTTGTTTTTGTCTCTATTTCTTCTACTTTGTTTATCATTCTGTGCCTCTATTCCTCACTCATTCTATCTCTTTTTCTTTTTGTCGTGTTTCTGCCCCGCCACAGTGGTCTAGTGGCTAAGGTACTCGGCTGCTGACCCGCAGGTCGCGGGATCAAATCCCGGCTGTGGCGGCTGCATTTCCGATGGAGGCGGAAATGTTGTAGGCCCGTGTGCTCAGATTTGGGTGCACGTTAAAGAACCCCAGGTGGTCAAAATTTCCGGAGCCCTCCACTACGGCGTCTCTCATAATCATATGGTGGTTTTGGGACGTTAAACTCCACATATCAATCAACCAATTTTTGTCGTGTTCTCGCTCTTTAATGCACTCTGTTTCACTGCGCCATTTTTTACTTCGCTTTCTGCCTAGTTTCCACCTTGCTTGTTCTGACTGTAATATCCTTTGCTTTTTCTCCTATCTTCTTCCTCCTCTTCACCCTAGCATCAATGTCTCACTCTCCATGTTTGTCACTCTCAGTTTTAATCTCTTTCTCGCAATTTTGATCTTTCTTTCTCTCTTACATTCTGTTTCTTCTATTTCTTTTCTTGTTTGCTTCCTCCTGACTTCTATCTTTTTCCGCGTCTACTTCGTTCTCTTTTATTGATTCTATCTTCATCTTTTCTCTAATTTTTATTTATTTCTGTCCGTCCTTTGTTATGTTTTACTCTATTTTCTTTTCCTTCTCCTACCTCTCCTCCTCATTCTCGCAAACCCTTTCCCACCCCTTGCTACACTTACTATGCTCTTGATATCATGTGTGGATGTCCGAATGGCTATGGTGCTTGCGTTGTGATCGAATGCATTCTATCGAAAACAGCTGTTTGCTACGAAAATTGGGTAAATCGCTAAATTCACCACCACTATATTGGGGCATATTATCAGTTAGAGGTTTGTCGATACAGCTTAAAGCTTATTGTTTGCCTTAACAGCGGTGTCAGAATCCCCGACAAAACCTACCAAGGTGCCTTGTCTCTAAAAGATGAAAGTGTATCTCTACATTAAAGTCAGTCTATTTCAAACACCAGTTATTCAAACATATCTGCAAAATATTGACACGTTAGTATAGCGGGGGCGTGTAAAACAGCAGAGAGTAAAAATTTTGCTCTGGGAAACACAGTCGCACACCACATGCTTCGCCCTTCCCCAGATTTCACGTTAGTGTAAAGCTTAAGCAGTTTTGCCTAACACCCTTGACCGCAACTTTTATTAGGCATGATGCTGGTTTTCGTCTAAGATTACTCAACCTACAACCTCTCGTCAACAGGTTGACGAGTCATGCTGATATTCGGCTCCATTATTTGCAAATAAATCCTTCATTTTTTTCATTAGGATGGGGTCAATTGGCAATTATGTAACTGCTTTCATTCTTTAAAGTGATTGTTTTCAGAAGAAGCGCTGTCTGAGAAACTTTTTTCAACATGTGGAGCAAGAGGAGGAAGAGTAGCAGGAAGTGTGGTACCACTAGCGATCGCTGACTGCCATGAAAGATCTTCATGCGATTGCTTTGTGCCAGAAGCGGTCTTATCAACTTCTCAGCGGCATCCCGTCACTGCGTATAAAGATATAAGCAGCACCGTAAAAGACTGGAAACAAGGCCTTCATGAACAGCGCACCGCCATCAATCGTACATCAAACTAGACTGCACAGCTTACCTGTATACCGTTGGGGAACTCGACCAAGCAACTGGAACTCTGCTTTCTGAATAATATATATTCTAACGAGTAAAACCAAAAGTCGCCTATAGGTGGTCATTTTAGCGCTTAAGTTTACCTTTTGGGCGTATATACAATTTCTTCCTTTCTGGCACGTTAAAATAAACCTTCAGTTATTCATGCATTTATTACGACGCAACCTTTGTCATAACACGACTATCCTAACTCCGAACTGCGTTAAAGCAGGCTCGCTGCTAAAACATCAAATACATGTCTCAAGACGACTGCTTCGTTTAGGTGCACCCTTTGCAAATAAATGCGAGAATTTGCCTAAATCGCCAAGACCTCGTAAACAAAACTATCGAGCTGCGGTGTGGCCGCAGGCTATTCGTGATACTCCCTTTTTCTCAACTCGCTTCCTGCGAGTAGCCTTCGCAAGTCGCGTGATACCTCTTTTGCTCTATAGCTTTTCATCTCGTGCCATTCATCCATCAAGTATCCACCATATCGTCCAGGAACAAGTTATTTCGCTCCTTTATTTTCCTCTGTATAGATTAGTTTTGTTACGTACCTAAGTCTTGGTTCGAATTTTTTCTTTCGATGCACATTCTTTCATTTCACTGCGCATACAGTGAAAGCTCACACTACGTGGCGGCATATTTCAGAAGTATGTAATATTCAGGAACTTCATTTCTTTTATTCGGTTGAAACGCATTCTTGAACGTCTAGAGCACTTATGTCAGTAAAATTTCTTCGAGCACTGGTTAAATAAGTGTTCTGTTTCACACCACGGTTTGTTGACTGCTGTGGTTCAGTACCTGTTTCGCTGTGCTGCTGAACATAGGAACACGGGCTTTTTTTCTCTCCGGCTAATATAGCTGCTGTTCAATGCAAAAAGAACAAAAAGAAAACTTTTGCACCGTATTTTGCATGCATCTCGAAAGCCTGGGGTTGAAATAAGCGCAATACACAACATCAACTATGGTTTCTTATACCTTCTCAATGTTTCTGGTACGTTAAAATTTACATTCAATAATTCATGCATTTATTACGACGTAAATTTGTCATAACACTACTATGTTAACTCTGTACCACTAAACACATCCAAATCCTTCAAGGAGCGGATTTCATTGTCTGGCTGAAGTTCACACTCATAAAAAATGTCGAGTGAGCACACAACGACACATAGTCAAATTTCAATAGAGTTTTATTGGAAGTGCGAAGGAATGAATGAGTGAAGGTTTCATTAAAATTTATGGTTTAAACATTCCTCGAATCAAGCACTTAGTTTAGAAAGCAGCAGAATTTTAGTATCGGCCCATAGCGCTATTTACAAAAAATAACGTCCCATGAACAGCCCAGTACATTTTCTGAACAGCCACACCATGACCGCTTACGCTAAGCTGCTTCTTGGTTTCTACGCATTAAAACCTTTCTTTGTCTTTTTATGCACTGTTTCATAGATGTAAGTGTGGGTGGAGCTAAGCTCGAACAAGCGGCAAACCAACAACAAACATTGTACCGCTTGTAAACTGTACAATCAGCTAGAGTGACTATGCCCAAGTGGCTTGAAATTCACTTCATTTTTTTTTCGGTTGACATACCCAGAAGATGAAAACCATTTCCGACAAGACATAGCGCTAATATTCAGTTCCGTATAGTTCAAGTCTCACGAGAGTGTTCGCTTTCGTAAAGAACTGTGATTATGGTCGTTTAGCATGTCTTGTTAAACTTGCAATTGGCGATTATTCTTTTTTTTTCGAAACGTGTACCTAATGGTTTCAAATTTATTGTTCCAGCCATTATAATCATTTATGTAAGTTTACAGTCACGAGTCATTGAGTATCTCCGCTTTGCGAACGAGTGAAATTGAGTCATAAGAATAATAGAATGAGCTTTACAGCCAAAGAAACGTTTTTTCGACGTCGACAATCTATTTCTACTGACAGTCGAGATTTCATTCTCCGGTGCTGAAGAAATCCTGTCTGCATCAGTAATTCAATCCTTTCACGCCTTTTATGACCTACTGATCGCATGCAAAAAGTAAATAAAAGACTTTTGATGTAGTGACTAGAACATTCTTGTCATCACAGATACAAAAGAGAGAAAAAAAGAGCAGATATATATATATTTTTCAATTCGCGTCAAGGAATTTCAGGAAGAAAGGCGTGAAGTAAGATGGCATCCTTTGAGATCACCATCACGGGAGAGCTTGGAGAGATTGGGGAAATACAGCAAAAAATACAAAGAAGCATGGGCGAGGAAAAGCAACAAAAGAGTTTTTGACACGCGCAACTACCAGCGAGCTGGTAGTGTCAATAGAATAAGAGCGGCACAGCGTTTTTCTTGCGTCGTTCAGCCTTTCGCACCCGCAGTTTAGCGTCTTCTTTCACTGTTCCGACTTTCCTTGCAACTGAAGTCAGTGCGTTCCTTACATTCATAGGTCTCACATCATTTATATTTGCAGCAAAACAGTGATGTTGTCAGTGGGCACAGTAGATGCTTAACGGAGTGCCTAGCCACCCGCTCGCACTGGCGCCTCACAGCTGCTGAACCAGACAGCGCCGCATGAACACAACACGTTGTTTAAAAAGCGTTCTGTGCAACTCTTCTCGCTATTATACACAAGGCGACGGCTGGCTGGCTGTTTCGTCGGCTGGCTTGCTGCCTACGGCCCGCGGAAGGCCCCTGAAACCATAGTATGAGAGGGGGCATCACTTCACGTGGCGTGCCACCGAAGCAACGACGTCAAGCATCCGATGGTGGCGACGAGTGCCCAGGCGACGCCAGACGTCCTCAGCTGACTAGAGGAGCCGGCTGCAAGAAGAAAATCACGTTGAGAGACAGCGAGAGTTGCTACTAAAGAAATAGTTCAAATTGACGAAAATAAGAGTAGTTGTTAAAACTTGCTACTCCACACACAAATAAAGAAAGCCGGGAGTCAAGGCGGCTGTATCATAGCTGTGACACACAGAAAAAAGTAAAGCACTTCAAAGTAAAACTATCTTGTCGCCGAAAGGGGCCATTTATTGAAAAGAGTTGCGCCGATGACACACGGCAGCAGACACAGCACCTGCAGCTGCCAGTGCTGGGCTAGCAAGGTGAAGTGCGAGTGTCAGGGTACGCCTTTCTGGACCAAAAAATAGATGCCGGATCTTCTTTACCGAAAAGGATTTTTGCCGGAAAGGAGTTACTTCCTCGTAGTGGGTCACTGCGCACGAACACCTTTCCGGAATATGTCCCCTTGTTTTAAGGCATTAGGACACCTGTGCGTCACGGGTATCATAGAGTGACTGCAAAAGACGCGCTTCGTTCCACACAGAAAGCCAGCTGATACCCTTAAGAGGTTTTTGCCGTATCTATACCTAACCTTACACCCTACGAAAGAGTTGTTTTCAGATATCAAAACAATCATACCATGGTGCTTACAGATCAAAACAACCATACACGGCCACAGAAATCCAAAATCAAGATGGGAGCCGACATATGGAAACACGTAGGGGAATAATCAGGATGAACAGTACAAGTGCCTCAGAGAGGCTGGCCGACGTTTTGTTATGGGACCTATCGAAACGTCGGTCAGCCTGTCTGAGGCGATTCCACTGTTCACCCTGATTATTCCACTGCGGCCCCGGAAAGAGACACATAGGACATCCGCAGAGCATAGGAGAACTTTTGCTCTCACCCATGTAGGACTGTATATATTATGAAGTCTTTGTTTGAATAACCTTTATTAGGCCCGAGGAACCAGGAGCTGACAGCTACGATGAATTAATCAAGATGATTGTGCTACGCGATAACGTTGAGGATGCATGAGCCACACATGGTAATGATGATAATGTACAGGTGAAGAGGATGCGTATACTAAATGCCCACAATATGTATATATGCGATTTTTTTCTTTTTCTTTATTTGTAGCAATCACATGGAAATGGCTAACCGTCACCAAGTAACGGTGATTTCCTTCGTTGATTTTCTATTTCAATAAAAGAACAGCAGGGCATAGCGATTGTTAATGTTTGTGTGAGAGGGGAGAGGGGGGGTGTCCTGTCACTGCGTGTTGTTTTGTTCGTTTTGTTTTCTGCTCTTCTTTTTGCTCCACTTTTCGTTCATTTGCTTATAGCATTTTTTATGTCAATAAAATTTCTGTTAATGACCAGCGCTCGTCCTGTGTGTCCCGTATCATGCCCATATCTTTTTGCACTTTTTATCTTAAACGAGCGCAACCAACTGGCTGCCTTATTAAGTTACCAATGACCTAAATGCTTTTGTCGTGGAGTGTTGCCGGTAGCTCCAACGCCCTCCTTTATAGCTGAAACTCATTTAAACTAATGTCCTGAAATAAGGAAGCATGCAATTGTACTTAACATCCCCATCGAATGTGCACGTACGCGCCCAACCATACACACAACATATGACGTTGTAAAATACTCTGACGAAGCGCTTTGTGCTATACCTACACCTGCCATCCGCTATATATACTCTTGGTATCTTAAGCCATCGTTTAGTAACGGTGTCGATATTCCTTCTACGGTCCAGTCCATCTGATTAAATTGCTGTTGCTGAAACAATGCACAATAAACGCTCAACTACCTTTGTAAAGACAAGTTTCGCTTTCTTGTCATGCCAGATCCTCTACAGAGGGATCAACCACGTATTATTTCTTCACGCTCACGCATTAAAATTACCCGTGTGTGTTCTCACCATTCCTGGATAAATACTGTGTCAAACACTTCTGGCACATACCTCCATTCCAGTGGCGCATAACTTCCAACGGGTATGTGCCGCTGTACGCGGGAAGTATTTCACAACGTACGCGACAGTATTGTGGCATTGTAAATGTCTTGACCAGTGGGTCATATGCGTCAAAATACCTTACCTTCCCATACTAACTTTGGTTCACACCAAGTTAAGGGGCTGATCACGAGAGCACCAGGACCCAAACGGCTAGATAGGTAGATAAATAAATAGACAGATACGCAGATAGTCGCCAAAAGGTCTTGCAGTACGCAAAGAAACGCCTCGCATTTAAAACTGGTTTCTGCAGACACAAAAGCAAGAAGCAAAATATGAACATTTATAAAAGAGACTCTACAGTTATGACATCATATTGATCAAGAGCATTGGGAATCTGTCGCACTTTTTTTATAGGTGTCTCATTTCCCTGCAATGAAGGGATATTGAATCTGTACGGCCAGATGCCTGCTGGCTTTATATTGCAATAGTTTTCCCATTAAATTTAATTGTTAGCACCCTGTCTGTACTCTTGGCATCGTCGTGTCCAAAGCGCTGTTTTGTTCTCTTTATATATACACCAATCATTCCAGTGAAACACACTGCTTCAGTTGATTGCAAACACTCACAGTCGACCCTGATCATCTTCTCGGCGAAGATTGTCTGGAATGAGGGCGCATCAGCGGAGACTTCGCATTTGTACGTGCCCTCCGAAGCAGCATCCATGCCACGGATAAACACACTGCCATTTACTGAGCGTAGCATCTGCAAAAAAGAAAGAACAAAATAAGAAAGGAAGAAAAACGCGTTAACTGAGGTAATTTAGAACAACATGATTTGCCCGACCAAATTGCTTCAACCAATCACTGAGATGGTAATATAGGTGGACAACACTCACTTCGTTGATTTGCCACTCACGTACAATGTGTGATCATCCTGTGTATAGACATAGCAGTTTAATTGGGGCAGCCATTAAGCTGGTATAAAAAGTAAGCTTTCTTGCGTTCAAATTATTGCAGCACAAAAGTTTGGTTGAAATAGATACCAACGACTGCGTCAGAAAATCATTTATCTGAAGCTAGTAAGAAAGCTCTAAAAAGCGTCGACTATTCGTAGCAACTCAATTAGGCCAGCTTGCATCTCAGTTTTCCTTCTGTTGACCATGAAACGCCAGATTATCTTATTGTATTGAAACCAAAAGAAGTAAAAGCGCAAATACGTCGTCAGAGCTCACATTTATTACAAAGTATTACAGCGAATTCTATTGGAGGACCAGAACTGACGTCTCCACTCCAATTTGTAAGTTAAAATACGCTCACATCAATTTCAAAATCTGCGTCATGTTTGTCGAATAAACATCTCAGGATAATTTATTCTTAGAACACAAAGAGCAATGCAAAACAAAACTGTTAAATCTTTCATATCATATGAATACCACATTTGCTCGCTAATATGCCTCTTTTTGTGTACAATTAAATATGTAAAGGTAAACATGTTCGACAGATATCTGTCTGCCTGGACAAAGATGAGAAAACTTTGGACTAAACGTGGCTGGATAACTTTCTTATTCGTATGGCTTGAAATCTCGTCCTCTTTTGAATGTATATTTGCAATGCAAGAAATGCAATTGTTTGAACTTTGCTTTCAAAGCAAACCACATAGAGCAGCAGTAAGATAGATTTGAGCCAACTTATTGAGGCTTTTCCTATGTCAGTCCAATGATTCATATTTCTTTATAGAATCCATATGAAGTCCCCATAATTTTTATATATTTTTCATGTTTTTGTAAACATTTTACGGAACTGTATGGAACATTTGGAATGACATAAAGAAGGTTTCACTACTGATGAAGCTGTTTCTTATGAAAACGCCTTAGCATCTTCTCTTCAGAATCAGAGTAATGCGTTCATCGATCGTAGTTCAAAACAGGGGTGTGCGTCAAAGAAGCAATCTTTTTATCAGACTAGGGCGCAAAACTAAAACAGTGTTCCCATGCGGCTACAGTGCGTCTTAGGCGACTTAGGAAGAAATGCTAGCGTTAATAATTATGCTAACCAATATTTTTATTTTTTGTTGCGATATAGACCTGCATTTAACTACCTCGTTATCGCGTCTATAGGACGTTGGTTAACGATGACCAGAAAGGAACCAGCGACAATTTAAAAAAACAAGACACTAGTATCGAGCGGCATGTACCACACTCTGTAAGCACTAATGCTTCTTTTCTGCGTATTTAGTTTTTTGTCTTTGTAACTAAATAATTACAGTGTCTCAAAGATTGCTTTCTCCGTGAAGATGGCAGATAGCTCGGGTAGCGAAACCCTCTCGGAAAGGTTGTTCTTTGTACAGTTCAGTTCAGTTCGCAACCAAGTTTTCTGTTCTTTACGGCAGAAAAGACTCGGAGAATGACGCCAAACTATTGAAACGTATTTCGGGTGATAAACCATACAACGAGCCCAAGTGGTGGTCAGATGTTGATCAGTACGTCTCGCTCTCTCACACATCAATTTTTCATGCCTAAAAAACTGCAGTGAGGATGGTGGCACCTTTGTATTGTGCTCACTATATATTTGATTTGTATTGTCTCAGCAATACATGGTGAAGATTTCAAAATATCCCTTTCAACAAACATTGAGTGATGTTCAGCCCGAAAAGGGTGCCCGGCTGAGACTTCAGAGTAGGGTTGCTTAGAGATACGATATGTGCTGCAAGGAGTATTGAGCTTTTGGGTACTTTTTTTTAGATTCAGAGAGTAATGAAGAAGATTCGGGTTCACAAAATTGGTTGTCCGATTCAAATATTGCAGAAGCAGTCAGGTACTGAGAGTTATGGTTTTGGGGAAATTGTCATGGCTGCACAGAATAGTCAATTTTATGTGCATGCTGATCTATTTGGGCATCAGCGAACTTCCACGACTACACTTTCCGAGAACAAGTATATTGGTGATAAGTCCTACTGATTGACAAATAGAAGAAGACAGGAATAGCGTTATGAGGACAAAAAGTTTGACTGCTAGACAAGTACCCCTTGTAAGGTCGCTTTTGCTCAGTGGCAAAAGGGCCTTAGACAATTTCTTTTTACATCTTCACATTGTAAGACATTATTCAACCTATTTCGACAGAGTCAGAAATTGAAATGTGAAAGCTTTCTTGTGACTTAGGTCTATAGTATTTTAGTGTATGCGGTGAAGTAACATATTGAAATGTTCTTGTGCCCTGTTCAGTGATACTATATTGTCTAAACTTTTTTTCTGCTGCTATTGAGCATAATTTTCCTAATTGTCAAAGGGTGATGATAAATTAAAATTTATCGCCCTTTTAAGTTATATTTATTGCATTATTATGTCTAAAACCTGCAGGGTAAAGTGTGACTATGTAGCCTTATGAATAATGCAATTGTTAGCGCATAAGCTTTTTGAGCTAGATAATTCAACGTTTCTTCTCGTATATATAATTAGTGAGTAAAGGTTTTGGATGCTTTTAATTATTTTCTTTCTTGTTTTCACGATTGGTGCATGGCATTCGAAATAACGATGTACGAGGGTCAAAAAAATATTTTCCTATTTGCCCTAGCATATGATAATCTAACATAGTTTTGCTGAAGTTATACTATATAAAAGTACAATCCCTTAGCTCTATACTGAGAGGTTATGTTACGCTTTATTTATATTATTTACAAGAACACATTGTTACACAAACCTATAAAATGTAGTCAATGTACCCATTTAATAAACTAAGGGTCCAGAAAATAGTGAACAAGGTTAAGGCGCAATGTTTTGTGCGTATCTGCGCATACGTTGTGTAGTGTAAGACCAATGTTGCGAATAAAATGAAGTAGTGTTATGAAGAATCCATTACTATGAGAGGTCCACCTAATTTTTTTCTCGTGGGCGTTTTTACCACCGTTATGTATATTCATGAGCGTGTTTCCGTGTTTGCGTAGACATATATACTTGTCCATGTATTAAAGTTGAAATGTTCCTTACGTCTACCCTTATGCCGTTCACTTCAAAATACTGGCCGGGTGGCCTGTCAGAAGGGACGTATCTGAAGAACTCGATGTCGTCTTTGTACCACTTAACAGAGTACAGAAGGTCTCCCTCGAGGTCGTAGGCGCACTTCAGCAGCGCTTCCCGGCCCACGCTCACACGTGTAGGTACGTCCAGTGACACGATGCGCAAGCCAAGGATTCCTGCAATGTAAGAACCACCTTTGTAGTAAACAAGTGCATACATTACCTGTGCGAATAATTATAGAAACAAGCATATATATATATATATATACAGCTGGTAATTTTTTCATCCACTTTTCTTTATTCTTTCTTCTTATTTACATTCCATTGGTTCTAATAACTTCCCTTGTACATTCCTTGGCATTACTGTCTGTTATATCGCATTAATATTGTGTTAAAACACGGAAATACGAGCCCTTAGGTATACACTTCTCTCCCTTATTATATATATATATATATATATATATATATATATATATATATATATATATATATATATATAAGCGGGCTCTTACCCCGGAACCCTTCTTGGGGGGAGGGGGCACTTGTTGTTAGCCTTTAAAAACATCTATATTTATTATTTGTTCCAGGTGAAACACCCCCTTCCATCTGATTTTCGGACAGGAGGGAAGCTAGGCCTCTAGCAAGTCCCCCCCCCCCCTATCTGCTGCGCGTCTGATATATAGTACTTGTGCTATTACTTCTGAAGAAATTATATTGATAAGTTCTATTATTTCTCTCATTAGTATATTACTTTCGTTTGACGCAATGCTTTACAGGTTATGATCCATTTAATTGCATTGATTTCAGATAATTAGGGTAGCTCGAGCAACATTCTATTTGGCCAAGAGGATAATGACAATTGAAAAGTTGATGCCACTTTTGTAACGCACTCTTTGATGGTTTAAAGCTTGGCCTGAGTTAGCTGAAGGACCACCTGTAATGTTGATCCACGGATAAGCATGTTTGTATATAGACCATTTTGTATTCATTAACATCTCATATGGAGGTGTATAGTTCGCTGGACGATTGTAAGTCTATATCAGCCAGAAAAACTTTACTTTCCTTATTAGCATAGCAGGCGGTGTATTGTCCAACTTTCTCTTTATGTTTCACGTGGTCCCGGCTATATTTAATGTTACTATTGAGCCATCGTCCACTTACATCTACAAAACCGTTCCAGCCTTTCTGTTGTCTGATTGATACCCGTAAAACGGATGACATTATCTGCTTTCTTGCTGTTGTAACCGCCTGGGGCGCAAAATATAGCCTCGTTTATCGATCACGTAAAAAAACTGTCAGCAGCTACCGCACAGAGAGGCCATTAGCGACTGCCATAAAATAGCTCGTCAACGTCACTTATCATTACAATTGCATTTTTTTAGTGGTGTATACCTTTTTAAACAAACGCTGCAACCTAACAACAGAATTATATCTGATACATATTTTTTGCGGTAGGGAGATATCGGCGTATGAGAATACCTTAGGACATTTCGTACATGGTGCTCATGAGATTCACTAGTATGATGCATACCATGATGATGGCAATCAGCAATGGTGAGGAAGACTATCAAATACTTTCGTCAGCATTCGTTGTCTTTTTTTTCTGTGCGTTGTTTTTTCTACAGCTCTGTTAATCTCAATGATAACTTTATTCTGAAACAAAGTTTAAGGCTTCTTTTGTATAGATTTTAGCAAGCCTTTGCACACAGTGTCCTTCATTCTATCGAATCAAAGTACCACCTAGCACTCTCCTATGGTACTTTTAAGGAACTGAACAAACCTTCCTCTGCAGTGCTATCAGCATCTGGTGTGCAAGGCTACAAGCTCAGCTTGTTGACGAACGAATGTTTCTCTAGAACTCACTTGAGCGATGCGGTAATTTGCACACTGAAAGCCAGTAGTATTGGCACAAAATAAAACATATTGGTGTTAAACGGTGTTTTCAATTGTACAGCTGAAGACGTATAATTTTTGACACAACAATGTTATATGCCTGGGTCGACCAAGACTACAGTGAACTGTTTCCGTCACTAAAATGACACTGAAAGAATGGAGACGATCAGGGAAAAAAGTTCAGTCAACGGCAGTCGAACACATGACTTCTCGGTCTACCGGAACAGAGGCTGGAGACACTATAAATTCCACCTCAGTCACTTTTTTTAATGAATTGCGCCACGTCACACACTTACGAGGTTTTTGTCATTTGCCAACTATTATTTTATATCTACTAAGTAAAAGAATTAAAAAAGCTCTTTGTCAACCAATACAACACGTAGCACTTCATTCTCATAGCCCCTAAAGCATGCTCTCACACATGTATGTATGTGTGTATATGTATGTGTGTATATGTATGTGTGTATATATATGTGTGTATATATATGTGTGTATATAGTGTGTGTATATTTATATATATATTTTTGCTTTTTTCTCTTTACATCTCGTGTTTACATGGTTTCTTTATATTATGGAGTGTGCTTGATCACCCATATCATTATGATTATTGAAATTTTGCCCTTCCTGTCGAAGCTATGTTTTATTTGTCTTTATGTTCATCATGCACAGGAGGTCCCAATTCAGTCTCCGACTACGGGACCTCCTTCTGTATACTGTCTGTAATGACTTTACTTCACAGTAACAATAAAATCTGATTCTGATTCTGATTCCCTCTCGCAGCATTTTTGTTTGGTGGGGTAATCTCGGCATCTGGGAGCACTAAAGTGAAGTAATGCACGATGAGCGTCAAGGTATTCATCATGACCTTTTCGGCGCGCTTCCAATAAGTGAAGTGAAACGTTGGTGACGCTTTCACACACCACTTGGTGGCGACCTTAACTCCAGCGTCGGCTTCACTCATGGCATTCATCTACCCTCAAATAGCTCTGCGACGCTCGCCGAATTCGCCTGGGTATAACAGCGTTCCCCAAACCGAGAAGAATTGCGACCTAGTTGGAGAGGACAGCGTTGGGTTTCTCTCTGACCCAGTTGTTGTGTTGCGCCCTAGCGAAAGGCCATGCGCGTCCGGGCCGGCCGCAGGAGCTGAGAAAGGGACTGAGCCGCTTCCGATGCACGCGAGATAACGTCCCTCCTTTATTCCATGCAACCAGCATACATATATAGCAGACACTCATGTGACCAATGACGTCACGTACAAACGACACTTTACAATTGCGGGCGACAGCGCCAGATAACGCGGACACTTGACGCGCCTGGGCGCTATCACCACATCTCCCCTTCTTTAACAATACGCTGACAGTTGCAACAAACTTCGCAGCACAGCCAGCGAAAGAACACTTTGCAGAAACAAAAAATGCGCAAGAACAATACAGTCAATTACTGAACCCGTAGCGGTCCGGCCGTCGAACAAGACGACCAGATCACGTTCGGTATTCAGGAAGGTCAGTTCCCGGCAAGGAAGGGCTAGATAGATCGTCAGGCGCCATGCTGTCTGTAACGCGATTAGAATTCTGTTCCGTTTCTACCCATCATCTGCCTGAGGAAATTCATCACTATCTCCCTCATCCTCACCTTCTTTTGTCTGTGAAACAAAGCGCACCAAGGATTTCCTGTTTCTTTCCAGAACTACACCAGTGGAAGTTCTAACCACATACGACCTCGGCCGCTCAGCAAGTCGCAAAACTCGCGCTTTTGCTTTGCAGTCCGTCACCCAGACTTCCGCGCCCAGTTCGAGTGCTCGCAACGAAGTAGCCCTATGACGAAGGTTCAAGTTCCTACGCTGCCGCTGTCGGGCGGTCGTATCATGGGTTCTGAACTTTCTCAGGTTCACCATCTGAGGCAGAAGGCTTGTGGGATGGACAGGCACCGTTGTGCGTAGCCGCCTGCCCATTAGAAGTTCTGCAGGGCTTTTCCCAAGTAGCCCCGGAGTGTCCCTGTACGCTAGGAGAGAAAGATATGGGTCCTTCGCTTTTGTAATGAGACCTTTGATTGTCTGGACCATCCTCTCTACTTCACCATTTGCCTGGGGGTACCTTGGTCTAGACGTCACAGCGCGAAACCCGTAGTTGTGAGCGAACAACTTGTATTCCTGCGACACAAATTGCGCTCCGTTATCAGACATAACTTCTGGTATGCCATGCCTTGCAAAGAAACTTTTAAGGTGCGTAATGACAGTGGCACTCGTTGTAGATGATAACAAAGCAATCTCTGGGTACCTAGAAAAATAATCTACGACTACCAAGTACCATTTTCCTTGAACATGGCAGAGATCGGCTCCTAGTTTTTGCCAAGGACGCTGTGGAGTGGATATCGGGATCATTGGTTCTGGCTTTTGGTGTCTGTGCTCGGCGCATACACGGCAATCGGTAACCAATGCTTTCAGCTGATAACTCAACCCTGGCCACCATACCGACTCTTTGGCTCGAGCTCTGCATCTTTCGATTCCCAGGTGACTCTCGTGCAAGCGTATCAAGACCTCTGCACGCAATTTTTGAGGAATGACCAACCTCATACCTTTAAGTAGCACGCCTTCAGCAACTGTAAGCGTGGCTCTTTCCTGCCAATATGGACGCAAGACCATCGGAAGAGATGAGAATTTTGGCCACCCTTTCCGGCTGAATTTTACGAGTCCTTGACAAACTTCGTCAGCGGCTTGTTCTGCTTTCACTCTCTCGAAGAGGCTGGCCTCGACCGCGTTTGACAAGCATCCTGAAACGTGCTTGCTGACGTCACTAATAGACAGTGCATTATCAGTTTCTTTTCCCCGAATCGGGGCCCTCGACAACACATCTGCAGTAACTAAGCTCTTGCCCGGGACATGCACAACTTCATAGCTGAACCGCATGAGCCTCATGCGAAAACGCTGAATGCGAGGTGGTAAAACATCTAAAGGAGATTTTCCCAGCAAGGTTACAAGAGGTTTGTGGTCGGTTTCACACACGATTTCAAGACCTTTGATGTACCCTTCGAATCGTTCTGCCGCCCACGTCATTGCTAGTGCTTCTTTTTCAATCTGAGAATATCTGGTTTTTGCAGGCGTCAACGATCGCGATGCAAAGGCAACGGGTCGTTTTTAGTTGTTTGGTTGAACTTGCATCAGTACCACCCCCAAACCGAATGCTGACGCATCGGCGGAAAGAATCGTAGGGTACTTTGCATCATAGTCAGCCATGACGCGCGCCGAACCGATAACGTCTTTAACGCATGACAGCGCTTGCTCTTGG